AAGGACCTGCTAGTTTTAGAAGACAAGAAGTCATGGGTCATGTCCACTTGCTGTGTTTGTGGATCTCAAGGCTTAAAGTAAAGTTCTAATAAGATGAGCATATGCTATAATAATGGTAATAGCTACCATTTGTGAAATGCTTGCCTCTGTGTGGATATCAGCTCATTTTAGCCTCATTACAATCCTGAGATACCTAATAATCATCTCATTTTAAGGATGACATAATTTGGGGGAGTTACCCACTCTTCCAAAATAGAAATAGACTCACAGACAGAGAAAACAAACTTATGGTTACCAAAGGGGAAAGGGAGGGGGGAGGGGTAAATTAGTAGTTTGGGGATTAAAATGTACACACTACTATATATAAAATAGATAACCGACAAGGACCTACTGTATAGCACAGGGAACTATATATAATCTACATTTCCATAAAAAGTTTTAAAAAATGGCCATAGCCACTCACCAGGCCAGCGTTATCTCAATGTAAATCCATGGAGTGATTCTCATGAAATAGTCAAAGCAGGGCCTTTGGAGTCAGAACTGCATTCAGATTCGTTCTGTTACGTTCCAGCCGTGTGGCTGTGAGCAAGCATATTATTACCTGGAGAGGCTCAGCCACTTATTTGCTTAGCAACCTTAGGCAACCTCTCTGAGCCTCAGTTTCTTCGCCTGTAAAATAGAGATAAGACCAGTTTCTACCTCCTGGGGTTGTTGGGAACACACATGAAGTCATACATGTAAAGGGACTAGAAGTGTCCCATGCCTGTGATTGCCATGTAAACATTTGCTTAAAGAAAAGCAAACAAACCGGCCGTGGCTTCTAATTCCCCCGTGTGGGATCACGTCTTTGCAGCATTATTGTGAGAATTAAATAAAGTGTCATGTGTAGATGCCTAGGACAATGCCTTTCACATAGCAGATTCTCAGACAATATTAATTCTCTTACTTTATTAATTTGCTCATCAAAAATCCTTGCATGCTTTCTGCGTGACTTGTCCCGCTAGGCTGCTGTAAGGTACTCAGAGACAAGCAAAGCATCAAGCCTACTCTTAACCAGCTGACTAGCTATATTGAGGAAAGAAAAACAAAACACCTTAAGGTCGCTCAGTACCCGGTTCTCAGTACAGCTGGTAAGAGACAAAAGAATTCAGTAACTTGGGAGGATAATTTTTGGGGGGAGCTTGTGCAGGATGTTGAATTAGAGAAGGCAAGGAGAGAGGGGATGTGAGTTTAGGTGTTTGAAGGGCCTGTTGAGGGTAAAATGTGGTTTGTTTAGTCCATGCAGGTCCTAGAAAGGAGGAACTTTTCTAACAACTGCATCTCTCTGATTCGGGGATGTTTTGCTTTCTGAGGTGCAAAGAGCTTTGTTTGACAATCTTTTGGGTGCAGTTTCAGGTGAAAAGAAAACCACACAGAAGCTTAGTAAACAATGAAGTGAAAATTCATTAGAAGGATGCAGATACCTCAGGGCATTCAGTGCAGCCCAGGTTCACAGGTAACTGAGGAAAGTCCAGGAAGGTCTCAGGAATCCATCCAGTGCCCTGTCTGTGCGACGCTTCCTCTCTCTTGCCTCTGAGTATCTGTGTGTGCTCCTGAGGGTGTTAACTTCGTTCTTTCTTCCTCTATTAATGACTTTCCCCCGCTGGCACATACATGCCGAAACGTGGCAGCTCTGTAGCTCCTGAGTTTACTCGTCTTCAGTTCAAGAGATCGCAACTGACTAAGAGTTCCGGTCCCAGGCAGTACATACAGGAAGGAGACTCTGATGGACCAGTTTGGGTTAAGGTGGTCCAATGATGACCTGGGAGCAGGAGGTGGCCTGCAGGGCCTGGTGGTGTAGACGTAGCTGCCAAGGGTCCAGCTTGTAGCTGAGGGCGCTGCTCTCTGAGGAGCGTGGGCCGGGCAGGAAGCTGACTGTGGTTATGATAAACTCCCAGCCCAGAGGGGTCTGCATAAAATCCCCGATGGGAGCTCTGTAAGGGAAGCTCAGGTTGAAGACGGGATAGAACAGATGCATGCAGTCTTTGGTCCTCTTCAGATATTTTGATGCTGCTAGGTGAAGCCCAGGTGAAATCCTGCAGGATAAATATGATTTGGCTACATGCAAGAGAAGCATTTTTGATAAGAGTATACGAATGGGGATGGAGAATGGGTTCTGGAAGTTTAACATAGAGCCATAAGCATTTTTAACGTTTTTGCTTATAGCTTTCAGCAGCCCTTCCATTTTTGGACAAGGTTGATTTTGTTTTTATTGTGGTAAAATATACATAGCATAAAATTTACCATTTTAAACCTTTTTGAGTATACAATTCAGTGTCATTAGGTACATTCACATCACCACCATCCGTCACCAGAACTGTTATCGTCCCCAACTGCAACTCTGTCCCTGGCAAACGCTCACTCCCCATTCCCTGTCCCGCCCCAGTACCTGGCACCCACCGTTCTACTCCCTCTGTGAGTTTGGTGACTCTAGGGACCTCACAGAAGTGGAAGCACACAGGATTTGTCCTTCTGTGTCGGGCTTATTTCACTCAGCAGAATGCCCTCAAGTTTCATCCATGGTGTGGCATGTGTCAGGATTTTCTTCCTTTTTAAGACCGAATAATATATCACTGTATGGATGGACCACATTTTATTTATCCATTCATCCATCAGTGGACATTTGGGTTGTTTCCACATTTTGGCTATTAAGAATAACACTAGCAGCCCATCATTTTTAAAGTATAGATGAGATTGTTTTCCACTTAGAATCATCGGGAAATTGTTCTCCTAATGAAAAAGACCTTAAAGGCTAACTGAATCCAGCCCCTTCATTTCATAGAGGGGAAATTAGGAGATTGCCCAATTAGGAAAAGTGAACAGCCTTGGACACATCTCGCCTACTCTGAACTCATTTGCAATTTCTCTGCCCACTTGTCTAAAATTGTGAGAGCTTTGGTAGCTATAAAAGGGTGGCCTCAGTTAGGGTCTTGTATTCTGGAGTGTGTTGTAGACTTGTGGAATTGTAAATTTGGGAAGAATTCCATAGACCAGTGGTTCTTGAACTTTTTTGCTTAGGACTTTTTGGCCTCAAAATATATATTGAGGACCCCAAGAGCTTTTATTTGTGTGGTTATATCTGTAGATGGTTATCATATTAGAATTTAAACCTGACAGATTTTTAAGATATTCATTAATATATTTATGAAAAGTAACTGCATTACGAGATAATTTGTGAAAGAGTGGCATTGTTTATATTTCTACCAGTATCTTCAGTATCTGGCTTAACAGAAGAAAGCTGGATTCTCATGTCTATGTCTGCATTCTGATGGTGATGAACCGCTGTTTTGCTGGAAATACAGAAAGATGATCTGGCCTCGCAAAGCTATGTACTCGGAAAAGCGAAGGATATTTTAGCGCCTTTTCAGAAAATTGTGACCGTTCTTTGATACTTTACACCAAAACTCAACAAGTGGTAGTTTCTTAAGGTTAGTTGCAACGTGGAATCTGGCGCTGTATCAAAGAACACTTCATTTTCTGTTACATGAAGATATTTCAGCTTATTTTACACATTAGATGGACCTTTACCCACGTGGGCTTTTATGACATCATGGTTTCCTGAGTTGTGTAGCGCTTCCAAATGTCAACACACTGCTTTATGCGCCAGGAGGTCAGGTACCTCAGTGTCGTTCCTGATCTCATTGGAAAAGTCTCTGTTGAGAAGCTGTCATGTTCCTCGTGCTGGATACACGTGTTCAAAATTCTCTTTTCCCGCGGAAGCTCAAATTGTGTCATTGGCAACAAATGCTGTCATTGTTTACCTGGACGCGATAAGCTTACTTTGTTCATTTTTGAGAAAATGTCGCTCACATACCCAAGTCTGAATAACCGCGGTTTGTCTATTATTTCTTCTTTGGTGCTGCATGAAAACAGTGGCTTAGCGTAACTCGCAGCTCAGAAGGTTGTACACGTGCTTATTCTCTAGATGACCGTGGTACTTGAGTCCGCGAGAGGAGTGTTTCACGCGTACTCCCCGCCTCACCACACAGCACGGGATAGAGGCGTATCCTCCAGGCCTCACCACACAGCACGGGATAGAGGCGTATCCTCCAGGCTCGAGATCTAATGAAAGCGATTTCTGCTGCTTCATCAAAGACACTCTTAAGTGAAAGTAGCATTTTAAAACTTTTATTTATTTACTTATTTTCACTGCTAGTGTGTAAGTGAAGGATACAGTATCGTATAGTTTGGTGTCACTGCTTTGATTTGCGCCAAGATGCCAGAAGTTTAACCACCCCTTCATTTGCACCATTAGCGCAGGAAAAAGTGAATAATGTCATATATTATGAAAATAGTTTGACCTCGCGGACGCCCTGAAAGGGCGTTGGCATCACCCAGAGGTTCACATCATGGGGTAAAAATTGCTGACACCAGCCCCATCGTGCAGTCTTGTGGGTGTCAGAGGGGAAGTCTGCTGTAATCCCAGGAAGAAAAGACATGATGGAAGTCAGAATCTGAATTTATATCAAGGTCCTCCCCGGCAGCCAGCATCATGTGGTAACTGTAAAGTGCTCACAATCTTCCTGGGGAGGGAGCCGGCCCTGCAAAAGCACAGAATTGGGTGTTGAGTTCCCACGTCCTGTAGTAGTTATCTGAAGACTCTTTGGCATTTTAAACTCCCGTCTCCTTCCTGACACTGAAATTGAATATCATGCAGTTGACAGCAGATGATGCTGTCAGGCTCTTGGGTCGTGACTCCATCTGTTGGCAGTGTGGCTCTGGGGCTTCTCCCAGCCGAACACCTCTGCCTCAGAGCAGAAGTGATGGAGGAGCACATTTGTCTAGAAGATGATGCGTGAATCTTTTAGACGCCCCGGTTTCAGCTAGCTTGTGTTTCTGTTGGAAAACAATATTCAGCCATCAAGCTAAAAACGAAATACTTTGAGTAAAATTTAGCATTCGTGTTTTGACATTTACAAATTGGTGGGTCTCATAGAACCTTTCCTCTCTCCTTTGTTTTCAGCAATGGAAGAGTTAATCGTTGAACTTCGTCTCTTTCTTGAACTCCTGGACCATGAATATCTAACCTCAACTGTCAGGGAGAAAAAGGCAGTTATCACAGACATCCTGCTGAGGATACAGTCATCCAAAGGTACGTCTCATTCAAACCGCAAGTCTTTCTTCTTCCAGTCTCTTTTTGCCTCGAAGCCATCTTTAATTCTCATCTTTCCAGAACACATTCATGAATGAATGAATGTATTCATTCATCAAGTTGTCATCGAAGGCCTTACTGTGTGCCAGGTACTGTGTTAGTCTCTGCATTTAGAAAGTTAAAGACCTTAAGGGGTGAGGCTTGAAGTAGGTGTGTTGGGCGGGTCCCTAAGAGCGCCCAACATTGGGGGATTCGCTAGCAGGACTCAGCAGGAGTTGTACTTTCTCGTGCCTGGGATTCATCACACGGGTAGTAAGGATTCAAGGCCAGATTATAAGGGGAAGAGACTCAGGCCAAGCTTGGAGGGGCCCATGTGCAGGCTACTCATGTTCCTTCTCCGACGAGGGTCACACAGATCACACTCTTCCCTCAGCAACAAAAATGCAGCAGCCTGTGTGCAATGTTTCTGTTCAGGGAAGCTCACTGGAGACTCAGTGCCCAAGGACTTTACTGGGGGCGGGTCACATAGGCACCCTCCGCCTGGCACGTACCAAAATCCCAGACACCCAGGAAAGCAGGTGTATTAGTCAGGGTTCCCCAGAGAAAGAGAACCGATAGCATAGAGGGATAGAGATAGAGATAAAGAGGAGATTTGTTGTAGGGATTGGCTTCTGTGATTACAGAGGCTCAGAAGTCCCACAGTCTGCCCTCTGAAAACTTGAGACTGAGGAAAGCCAGTTCTGTAATTCAGTTCCAGTCCAAAGGCCTGAGCGTCAGGGGTGCTGACGGTTCAAGTGCTGGCCAGAGAACTAAGAACGCCAGCGTCCGAGGGCAGGACAAGATGGGCGACTTGGCTCAAGCAGAGAGAGTGCACCCACCCTTCCTCGGCCTGTTTGTTCTGTTCAGGTCCTCAACAGGTTGGATGATGTCCGCCCACACTGGGGAGGACCATCCCCTTTTGAGTTCTGCAACGCAAATGCTAATCTCTTCCAGAAACATTCTCACAGATACACCCAGAAATAACGTTCCACTAGCTCTCTGAGCATCCCTGAGCCCAGTCAGGTTGGCACACAGAATTCGCCTTCACAGCAGGTGTTTGGCGTGAGATCATGTTGTTTGCCCAAACAGTCTAGGCAGAGTAGACCAACCTTATCGATTAGGGAATGGTGGGAACACTTCTGAAAGCCACGTTCCCAGATGCCAGCCCTTGTAAAGACAGCAGCCTCAGGCCTGCTGTGTTAAATAACTCTTTTGTGCACAGTGGGTAAGACAGAATAGCAGGGAGAGGGCATCAGTGTTAAGAGAACACCCAAGAGGAGTGTCCAAACCAGTTTAGTGAGAGAGAGAGAGAGAGAAAGAGAGAGAGCGGGTTGGGGGGGGGGCGGGGGGAGGG